AATTACATGAATTTAAGGAAAAGAAATACATATAGTAATACAATATTTATTTGCCTTCGCTGAAGAGAACATGGCAAAAATAAAAAAAATGTTTTAATTTTTTTTATAAAACAAAATAAAGTGTTCCTGGACCTATATGCCCCAGGCTTCGGGGCAAAAAGAACCACCATTTATTGTATGCACAAATTGCATACAAATTCATCGTCATTTTCATCCACGCCTGCGCACTCATCGTGTGCCCATTGTCCGCATTGCTGACATCTAATCCATTCTTCGCTTTCCTTACATTCACCATAGACTTCATTACAGTGTAGACATTCTTCCGATTCTGAATCAGTTTCGCTGTTTTATGTTGTTCTCATTAAAACAATAATAAAACACACATTCGCTTTTATGTACGTTTAACAGTACTGTCAAACACAGAACTGAGTAATGCCAACCTCTAGCAGTGAAAACACGGCGGAAATCTACATTAGTTTTAAAATAAATTAACTGATCCCGTTTGCCCGCTGGTCCTCTTTACCCCATTCTCCCCTACTTTACTGTATGTACAAGTAATTCATAATTCTCATTTTACTGAGATTTATTTCCTTGTTATTAAGATATTTGAATGAGGCAAAATGTAAAAAACATGTAAAAAGTCCTACAAAATCAGAATATGTTACCCGAAAAACTGTTGAACATCGATTTAAAAAAGGCTAGCCGAAAAACTATTTTTTCTGGGGGAAATGGATAAAGAAATATTGAGCAAGCTATCAGAAGGAACTGGCAACAATCTATCTACCGTAACTAGAATAAACTGTAAAAATAAGTCACCTCTTAAGAAAATTGCTTTTTATGGATAAATTCTACCTACAATTAAAAAATTCTCTCCGAATTTGTGAAATTTCAAAATTTTTCATTGGAAATCGTTTAAATTTGGGTCATTTGTTTCTCCACAGTGAAGCGCATGTTATTTTTCAGTGACAGTCATCAATTATGTTTTTTTAGTAAGTTATGGTTTCATAGATAAATCAGTATGATTTTAAATATCTTCAATAGCCCAAAAGCCGCTCGCCAAATGTGCAAGGGGCGCCTCTTTGCTCTAAAATAAATGAGATTCCTAAAAATAAAGTAAAAATCAGTAGAAAAACCAGTGGCGTAGATTTTCTGGTCAAAAATTAATAGGTACTCCCCCATATCTACGCCCCTGATGGGACTGAAGTGCAATCGATTATACCAAATTATAACTTAGGTATCATAAATATATTTATCCAAATTTAAAGGATTTCCAATGAAAAATTTAGAAATTATCAATAAAAAAGATATTTTTTTATTTTCCTTTGACACCCTCTATTTCGAAAACGAAACATTTGCGGACCTACCTTTACAGGAATTCTTTTCGTATTTTTGGACGTAGAATCTGCTCTAGAATATTTTAAACAACATTTTGCAACACCCTGTATATTGTCTGACTGGAAATGAATATGAAGACATTTCTTAGTCATATTCTGTATTTGGTAGCAAATCCAGAAGCAGCGTCTTCTCATGTGAATGCTACGTACTCCAGATAATGCATAAACTTTTTTGAGAAGCCTTTTTGGTAAAATGTTGGGCGAGAAGATACAAAATTCAGCTTGTAAAAAAATTGCGCAAATAATTCAGGAAGAAATTAATTCTATCGACTTCAATCCTGAAAACGCGAAGAATTTAACCAGGAAACACTATTTAGTGAGTACGTACTAGCTTGTGCTCTACACGGAATTGGATATTAAGTCTCAAGATTTAGATCTGATCGATGTAACTATGAGCATACTTATTCATCCTTGTTAAGCAGCACGGCTTGCAGCAGCTTGGTGTTTACGTTGCTTTGCGTCGCTGTACCAAGTCAAATATCTCCTCTGATATATCTTTGCGTCAACAGCATCGAACAGATTCGAGCTTCAATAGAAGCCAGATCAGGATACAACTCAGCTCTAGCCGCTATTTTAGGAGGCGTAAAACTCTCACCGCTCGGTGTTCCCCATACGAAAAAGAAAATAATATTTAACACAGCAGAAGAACTTTTAAGAAACTCCAATCAGAATAGTCGATTGTCGTAGAACACATGCAGGTTGTTGATTGAGGCTGTAATGACATTGAGAATGTTGCAGCTATGGAGGAATTATTTTCCAAGATCTGCGAAGAAGGCAGAGACTATGTGTTTACGTGACAAGTGACTCTAGAGGGCTCTGCACAGCTTCCTTCAGAACTGTCCGGAATTGGTTTAAAAATACATTTAACATACAAAATGAAATTTCGCTTCTTAACAGGTAACTTTGTTTTTTACTATTTCTAGTATATTGAAGACGTATAGGCAGCAGTTAAAAGTTCCTACTGCAATGGTGCGGTTGTGGCATATTAAAACCTTCTTTCTATAGCATTTAAGAAAGATAAAGGCCATTTTGGAAATGATATCCATAGAGAGAGAATATATTGGACAAATGTTACATAAATAGTAACAATGTACAGATTTCGGTATTTGCGAAGCACAGGACACTTAATGCGAGACACAGAGAATCAACAGAAATCTAAAAAAGTCCACATAATCTCAATCGAGGTAAAAGCTGATAACTATCTGGGATTTGAAAAGACTTATCCGTAAAAACCAAGAAGCGGATTGTCACAGGCACACAGCTGATAAATGCCAGTTAATCCAATTAAGATAATCCAAGGCTTATAGGGGCCGCACACTCGAACTTCTGGTACGACTTGCGCTATGGGGGTGGTTTCCTAAACATTTTTGAGCTTAATAAAAGTTGTAGAGAATCAAACTGTGAACAACTTCCTTAGAAAATATTTTTGTATCTCTAATACTACTAGTGCTACAAATTTGACTTTGTCAAAACCGAATGGTGTCGATATGGTAGCGCATCTATTGAACGCTTGTATAAACAGTATACGTTCAGCTATTTTTTTCGAATTCGAATTTTTCGAACAATTTCTTGAATAAATGAATGAAAACTAAACATGAACTGATGCAGCCTGTCAGCTAACACATGACAGCCTAACACCGCTTGCCACACTCCCACTGTTTCAACTCTTTGTAAAAAATATGTTGACAAGACCACCACTGCAGCGTGCGCAATAGTTTTCATATAATGCGCAGTAACTTGTTAAGTATTAGAGATACAAAAAAAATATAAGGATAAGTTGTTCAGATTTTGATCCTCTACAACTTTTATGAAGGTCATTTTGCTCTAAAAAACTATTTAGGAAACCACCCTCATAGCGCAAGTCGTAGCGGGAGTTCGAGTGTGATCTTTTGGTTGGATACTCAGGAGGCAGTCCCCAAGCAGCGCTGAAAAAAACATCCTTTTTGGCATTTTTTTTTATAAAATGATATCTTTATTGGATTAAGACATAACCTTCTAAGATTTTCTGAAGCAGAGAGCCATATGCTTCGCGTAACGTTAAGAAGTCTAAACCAATGACATGGCAACTATCACGGAAATTGTTCAACCGTTGACAACTGCCAAGGAAGCTTGTCAAACAAGATTTTCCGCTTCTTTGAACAAACAATAACCTAATTAGTGCATATCATGCATACCTTCACAATTACATAATTTATTGTTAACAAATAATGGAGATACTTATCTACGATCCTTTGATGAAAGTTCTCTTGATTTTTTCATATATTTTGGACTTTTATTCATAAACTATAAATATTTTGAGTAGAAGTACTTCTATATACATAAAAAATGTTGCAAACTCTTCCTAATTCCGACGCCAATGGTTATATTTTATATTACACCAGATTTGAACTTAGTATTTTAAATCTTCTCAATTAATTAAATAAAAACTTTAACATTTTTTTCTAAAAGATCCCAGAGGTTAACTACTATTTTTGTTTATTTTGATGGCAGAAGTCATTTCTTAAAGATTGTTTCAACATCGTTGATATAGCATTAGATTAAAATCAAAATTTGCTCTGACTAAATTACAAGACCGACAGAAATGAACTAACCCAAACTTATAACTACAGTGTAATTCATTTAAATCAGTAAACTTGTTCAGAAACCTCGCCTTTCTTCGATTATAGAATTTCTTGTCAACGTTCATTAAGAATAGGCTTGGGAGCCACTGTAATGTTAATTTGAAGGAATTATTATAGACGGCAGAGGCTTTTGTTCTAATAAATTAAAGTAATTTATTTCGGTAAATTAATTATATTTAATTAAATTTCTGCTGGGTGATAAAATACTACACAATATAATTGAAGTGAAAAGTTTTTTTTACATGTATGTTGGAAACTCACTACACAATTTTCTTTTCATACTAAACCCCGAAGACAAAAAACTATGAGAAATATTACCAAGTAATATTAATATTTATTATAATCTTAAATCGAAAAAACGGGCATTATTTCAAACGTTTTGATAAACGAGTAAAATTTTACCACAAAAAAAATCGGCGAAAGGTCTCCTCGGCCAAACCTATCGTATTATATGTTTTTTGGGTCGCTGAAACCGAATCTGCAACTCATTTGGTCCCATCACGTCAGAGTTTCTTTCTATCCTCAAGAAATAGCTGAAAAATGGTAGAATTCAACAAAATCAACCCTGCAACCTGTTAAAACCTTATAACTCCACATCCTTATGATCTCGAACGAGCTCGACAAGCCGTAAAATGATAACTCGCAACCGTAAAAATACATAACCTCAAAATTGGATGAATCCAAAACCCAACAACCCAAAATAAGCAGCGAATAAACTTACACATAGGGCACGAATCTTCATTTTTGAATAGTAAACCATTTTAACCTAAAACCCCGAAGCTCCATAACCTGAAAACACGAAAAGGCGTCAATTTGAAACCTCAAAACCCCGAAGCTGAATAACCTTAAAACCCCAAACTTCAAAACCAGGGCCGGGGTTAATAAGGGTGAGGGTGGCGATCACTTCGGGCGTCACACATGAGCAGCGAGATACAGGGTCCCTAAACCCAAAATCCCAAACCCACATACCCTGAGCACAACGTACCTTGGGCGCAGCAAGATCTACGCTTCCATCACACAGGCCTTTGGCGGGACTCATGAAACCAAGCTTCCACACCCTCATATCCTAGCACGGTGGGCTTGAACATGACTTAAATGCGAAGTTTTAGCACCACAAATTTTCTTTTGGCATTCGATTCCTGGATTCATAAGAAGGCCAGAAAAAAAAATCTACCGTAATTCTTAGAGCCGTTTTCGAAAAAACACCCTTTTTCAACGAAGAAAAATTCAGTGTTCGAGATATCGGGATTTTTATACCTTTTAGTTGCCAAACTTCCCCAATTTGGCAAAAATGACGTTTCCCTGAAAGTTTTGCACTAGCACACAAACATTTACAAGCATATTTTTCAAATTGCCCCTTTTACTAAGACCGGAGATACTCATTGACGATTCCCAGAAACAGGTTAAAATAGAAAAAAATTGATAGATTGATTTTTCATTCGAGTGAGTTTTGCGGTAGTATGTCAACAAGAGAGAAGCATGTCATTTATTTCCATCCTTGTTTGATTTGCGAGGTCATTGAACTATCGCCAACCCCCACCCCCGATTGTTTGTTTAAGTTTTGTGATTCTCCAGATCGAATGATCAATATTATTCGTGAAATTAGTTAAAACTCCAGATAGTCCTCGGCCCTTTGACTGTAAAGTAATTGTTCTCTTCGAAATTTCAATTTCTTGTGAAAGTATGGACAGAAGATCAAAGGATCATGCAGGAACCCATCAAGAAAATCGGGAGCGGATATGTTTTCTCTGCCTGCAGAAAAAGAATCAAATGGTCAAAATCAGTGATAGTTTATGAGTGAATCTAAAAAAATGTGTGAATTATGCTGAACAGGATGAACGTTTTCCCAATGTTTTATGTAGCTATTGCAAAATTATCCTATATCGGTCAGTGACGTGTGGAAGTATCGGCAAAATAGCCCTGCCGGACTATACAGAGTTCAAAATTTTGGAGAAGAATAATCGGGGAAAAACTCAAACGTTGTGCAGTTGCACATTGTGTGAATTGGTACGAGATCTAGGGCCATATAACTTCACCAAAAAAACCGCCAAGAACAAAAAGAAGAGGAGCAACAAGTGCAGAAAATGTGGTGAAACTTATTCGGTAGGGAAAAAACATTTTTGTAGCCGAGAAAAACACTTCCCGAATTTCCAAGAACATCCTTTATTAAAGAACACGCCAAATGTTCTCTCTGTTTCGGGGCAAGCGAGTTGTTCTTGGAAACTCGGGAAGTGTTTTTCTGGGCTACAAAAATGTTTTTTCCCTACCGAATAAGTTTCACCACATTTTCTGCACTTGTTGGCTGCTTTTTTTAGATTCACACATAAACTACCGTTGATTTTGACCATTTGTTTCTTCTTCTGCAGGCAGAGATAACATATCCGCTCCCGATTTTCTTAATGGGTTCCTGCATGATCCTTTGATCTTCTGTCCATACTCTCACAAGAAATTGAAATTTCGAAGAGAACAATTACAACTTCACAGTCAAAGGGTCGAAGACTATCTGGAGTTTTAACTAATTTCACGAATATTGATCATTCGATCTGGAGTATCACAAAACGTAAACAAACAATCGGGGGTGGGGGTTGACGATAATTCAATGACCTCGCAAATCAAACAAGGATGGAAACAAATGACATGATTCTCGCTTGTTGACATACTACCGCAAAACTCACTCGAATAAAAAATCATTCTTACAAATTTTTTCTATTTTAACCTGTTTAATCATCAATGACAATCTCCGGTCTTAGTAAAAGGGGCAATTTGAAAAATATGCTTGCAAATGTTTGTGTGCTAGTGTAAAACTTTCAGGAAAACTTCATTTTTTCCAAATTGGGGAAGTTTGGCAACTAAAAGTGAGCGAAAGGTAGAAAAATCCCGATATCTCGAACACTGAATTTTTCTTCGTTGAAAAAGGTGTTTTTTCGAAAACGGCTCTAAGGATTACGGTGGATTTTTTTTCTGGCCTTGCTCCATTTGCTTCTTTATCCTCTTTGTAACAAACATTGATCTCGCTCCGACCAGATATGTGGGCTTGGCAACTTGGGTGTGAAAGAAAGCTGACTTTGCTCGCTTATCTGCTGTGTGATGAACGTGTATCTCGCTGCCACGAGGATTCGGAGGCTTGAGTGTAAAAGCATACTCGTTCTGTTTGCCTGTCTGTTGCCCAACTAACGTGGATCCTACTGCTCCTAGGCTATGAGGGTTTAGGAGCTTGGGTTCAAGAGAAAAATCACTTTGGTCGCCTATTTCTTTTGAACTTTGATTTGTTTAATTTGAACTCTGCGCCAAATCATGAAATTCAATAACATCAAGACTTACATGGTAAGACTTGATTCTCAATTCATCTAGAGCTTGAAAATAAAGGTTCCGAATCAAAAGTATTTTCGTGTGGCAACATGCAGGGCACCTCCTTGTGGTGACGGCGGGCAACGGAGTTTTTCCGCGGTCCGGCGATGTCACTGGATTGCGGCTTTCATGCCGTCATATAGGCACCACCAACTCGTAGATTTTTGTGCCTTTGAAGTTTCTTGGATTCTAATGAGTATCTGGTTTCAATTACTCGGGTTTGAGGCTCTTTCTTCGGCCAGGGTATATAGGTTTGGAAGATTAGGTTTATGAAACTTGCTGTATCCAGAGTATGTAGGTTTAGGATCTTGGGTTTGCTGTGCCCAAGGTATGTTGGTTTGGGAGCCCGGGTTTAGAGATCTTACTGCACTCAGGCTTTGTGGGTTTGAGAACTCGGGTTTAGAGATTTAGCTTTATCCAGGGTATGTGGGTTTGGGAGCTTAAGTTTATGAGTTTCGGCCAGTGGCTTCTTTGTGCGAAGTCTGTCTCGCTGCTCATGTGTGACGCTCGAAGTGATAGCCACCCTCACCCTTATTAATGCCGGCCCTGGTTTTGAAGTTTTGGGATTTTAGGGTTATTCAGCTTCGGGGTTTTGAGGTTTCAGATTGAGGCCTTGTCGTGTTTTCAGGTTATGGGGTTTCGGGGTTTTAGTTTAAAAGGGTTTACTATTCAAAAATGAAGGTTTGTGCCCGATGTGTAAGTTTATTCGCTGCTTATTTTGGGTTTTTGGGTTTTGGGCTAATCCAATTTTCAGGTTATGTATTTTTACGGTTGCGAGTTATCATTTTACGGCTTGTCGAGCTGGTTCGGGATCATAATGATGTGGAGTTATAAGGTTTTAACAGGTTGCAGGGTTGATTTTGTTGAATTCTACCATTTTTCAGCTATTTCTTGAGGTTAGAAAAAACTCTGACGTGATGAGACCAAATGAGTTGCAGATTCGGTTTCAGCGACCCAAAAAACATATAATACGATAAGTTTGGCCGAGGAGACCTTTCTTCGATTTTTTTTGTGGTCCTGTGTTATCAAAATGCTCAATATTCAGAGAAAGTGAACTGAATAATTTCACTCAATGCTTTCACTCAGTTTTGTGTTCATTCAATTTATCTTCCAGTGATTTATTTTAGCGTTTTTTTTTTTTTGGTAAACTCACAATTATTGTTAGGGGGTTAAGTTTCGTTTTGTTTTGCCATCTAGATTTACATATTTCCGACGCTTGTAGAAAGTTGTAACCAACTCGAACGGTCGGAAACTTTCTAGCAATATTATTACCATCCTGGGATGAAATATGCCAGGTCCAATTCTGCATTTTAAAACGCAGCTCAGCCATTTGTTAAACATGAACTGAAACACGCCGTTGCGTCCTTTCAAACTGGCCCCGGAACGGTACAATTTTGGACGCTTGACTGATGCACCCCGCATCGACCCGGCACATATTTCCTAGCCTGACCCAAAATGAATTGTTACTGGTTTATTCACGGGAAAGGCCGTAGCTTGTACCTGTCCGATGTTGAGGAAACAGCGCTACATTATCTCGCTGCAGGCCGTTGATTAATGTCGTTATTTTTTTATCTTCAACACGCCAGGCGCCGCGCTAATATGAGAACGTTATTACCATAAACTTGGAAAACAACGTAAATTGCATGGTTATCCTTTGGAGCTATAATTCTTTATACAAAGCAGGCTGACGAGAAAGGAACGGCCTGAATTCATAGAATTTTTGACAGTTTGTTCACTTTGGTTTTAAATTTACGTTATTGTTAACCACTGATTTCTATAGAATATATTGTGATAAAATCAATAATGGCTAGTTAAATAATAATGGCAAAAGCAGGTTTTAAATAAAATATAAGTTTAGTTAAGTTTGTTTTGGGGAGAATGTGAAACCGAACATAGTATGTGTTTTAACAGATGTCAACCAATGGGAGTGATGAACGCATTTTAAATTTGAGATGACACATAAAAGCAAATTGAATTTTGTATACGACATTAAAACCATCAAAGAGAGGATTTCAAACAATAATTTAGTATCATGTAATNTGGCTAGTTAAATAATAATGGCAAAAGCAGGTTTTAAATAAAATATAAGTTTAGTTAAGTTTGTTTTGGGGAGAATGTGAAACCGAACATAGTATGTGTTTTAACAGATGTCAACCAATGGGAGTGATGAACGCATTTTAAATTTGAGATGACACATAAAAGCAAATTGAATTTTGTATACGACATTAAAACCATCAAAGAGAGGATTTCAAACAATAATTTAGTATCATGTAATTAACTTTGTTCAAAATCAAAACTTGTTGTGTTTGGTTGGATTTTGTGTCACTAGGATTAATAATAAGTCACAAAAAAAACATAGTGGGTATATGAAAAAGGAAAGTGTTGCGTTACCTGGGATACCAAGAGGGAACAAAATTTAGTTGATTTTGACATTTATAAGTAGGGCTACTGGCTACCATAAGTCTACCCCTATACAGTGTGAATCAATTTGATGATGCACGTATTAGTGTTTTGGAAACTATAAGAGATAGGAAAATGGTTAGATGGTGAAAGTTTTAGATAGTTCTGTTGCTAACTTAATGGCGCTTGCAGACCGGTCCTAGCTTTTCGTTTTCAAATTATTTTGAAAAAAAGTAAATGTGGCGTTTTCGAAAATCGTCTGTAACTTTTTACCTCTTTTGATGTAAAACTAAATGATAACATAATCAAACTATC